TTCCTTATGAATTATAAAATTATTTTCTCCAGTTCTGTGAAGAATGTCAATTGTAGTTTAATGAAAATAGCATTGAATCTATAAATTGCTTTGGGTAGTACGGTCATTTTACAGACATTGATTCTTTCTATCCATGAATATAAAATGTCCATTTGCTTGTGCCATCTCTGATTTCTTTGAGCAGTGGTTTATAGTTCACCTTGTAGAGATCTTTCATCTCCTTTGTTAGCTGTATTCCTAGGTATTTTATTCTTTTTATCACAATTTTGAAAGGAAATGCATTCCTGATTTGACTGTCTGCTTGCCTGTTGTTGCTGTATAGGAATGCTAGCAGTTTTTGTACAATAATTTTGTATTCTGAGACTTGTTGAAGTTCTTGTTCAGCTTAAGAAGTTTTTGGGCTGATACAATGGGTTTTCTATATTATAGGATTATGTCATCTGCAAATAAAAATAGTTTAACTTCCTCTCTTCCTATTTGAATGCTCTTTATTTCTTTCTCTTGCCTGATTGCCCTAAATTTCAATACTACATTGAATAGGAGTGGTGACAGAGAGCATGCATGTCTTGTGCCAGGTTTCAAAGGGAATGCTTCCAGCTTTTGCCCATTTAGTATGATATTGGCTGTGGGTTTGTCATATGTAGCTGTTATCATTTTGAGGTATGTTCATTTAATGCCTAGTTTGAGAGTTTTTAACATGAAGGAATGTTGAATTTTATTGAAAGCCGTTTCTACATCTATTGAGATAATCATATGGTTTTGTCTTTAGTTCTGCTTCTGTGATGAATCATATTTATTGATTTGTGTATGTTGAACCAACCTTGCTTTCTGGGAGTGAAGCCTAACTGATCATGGTGTATAAGCTTTTTGATATTCTGCTGGATTCAGTTTCCCAGTATTTTATTGGGGATTTTTGCATCGATGTTCATCAAGGACATTAGCCTGAAGGATATTGGCCTGAAGATTTCTTTTCTGTTGTCTCTGCCAGGTTTTGGTATCAGGATGATTCTGGCATCATGGAATGAGTCAGGGAGGAGTCCCTCCTTTTCAATTTGTTGGAATAGTTTCAGTAGGAATGCTATCAGCTCTTCTTTGTAAATCTGGTAAAATTCAGCTGTGAATCCATCTGGTCCTGGGCTTTGCTTGTTTGGTAGGCGTATTAGGTTTCTCAAGAGGGACAGAACTAATAGAATATATATGGGATATATAGATGTATTATTATAGATAAGACTTGAAAGAAGAAATTATTTCAACATATAGATACATATTCCATTAGTTCTGTACCTCTAGAATATATATATATATATATACACATATGTATATTCCATTAGTTCTGTCTCATGTATATGTACATATATATATATATGGGAGTTTATTAAGTATTAACTCATATGATCACAACACCCCACAATAAGCTGTCTGCAGGCTGAGGAGTAATGAGAGCCAGTCTGAGTTTCAAAACTGAAGTACTTGGAGTCCAATGTTCAAAGGAAGGAAGCATCCAGCACAGGAAAAAAGATGTAGGTTGGGAGGCTAGGCCTCTGTCTTCACATTTCTTTCTGCCTGCTTATATTCCAGCTGTGCTGGCAGCTGATTAGATTGTACCCACCTAGATTGAGGGTGGGTTTGCCCTTCCCAGCCCACTGACTNTCTTTTCACATCTTTCTGCCTGCTTATATTCCAGCTGTGCTGGCAGCTGATTAGATTGTACCCACCTAGATTGAGGGTGGGTTTGCCCTTCCCAGCCCACTGACTCAAATATTAATCTTTTTTGGCAACACCCTCACAGACACACCCAGTATCAATGCTTTGTATCCTTCAATACAATTAAGTTGACACTATTAACCATCACAGCAGGCTACTTATTATGCCCTCAATTTCAGACCTCATTATTGAACTACTCAGGGATTCAGTTTCTTCCTGGTTCAGTCTTGAGAGGGTGTATGTGTCCAAAATTTATCCACTTCTTCTAGACTTTCTAGTTTATTTGCATAAAGGTATCTATAATATTCTCTGATTGTTGTTTGTATTTCTCTGGGGTCAGTGATAATATTCCCCCTTATCATTTCTGATTGTGTTCACTTGAATCTTCTCTCTTTTCTTCTTAATCTAGCTAGTGGCCTATTTTACTAATTTTTATAAAATATGGAATGCTTCATGAATTTTCATGTCGTCCTTGCACAGGGACCATGCTAATTTCTTTGTCATTCCAATTTTGCAAATATGTGCTGCCAAAGTGAGCACAAACTCATAAGTAATAATCTAACAACCACCAATATTATAAATGTAGCACATAAATTCCTAAAATTTGTACATAATGCCCCTCGAATGGGGGTGTCAGTTTTTTAATTAATTATTTTATAGAGAACTTTATATATAGTCCAACAGAGAGGCAGAAAAAAGATGGGACGTAAGATTATTGAAGTCAATAGCACCATGTATGACTCTACTACTTGGGGATTTCTCATTTTCAAATGTTATTTCTTCCATAACATTCTTTGATCAAATTCATATTCTGTAGTTACTATTTCAGATAGCAAGTATAACTGAAAATGTGAAAATTATATTTTTATTCTTGAGAAAGCTTTGGGGGCAATCTGGGTGACAGTCAACATTGAAAAAAGTAAAAAAAAATTTCTTCTATAAATTCCAGAGATAGAAACATGAGCAACCATGTATTATTTGGGTAGTGAAACAAGAGATTTGAAAATCACTGCATCAAATAAAAAATACAAAAAGCCAGATTTAGAGTTGGTGTCATGGTATCCCCATTCCAACTAAAATTCTACAAATTTAGACAGAGACTCACTGGTGTTTCTGATAAGACTTGAAAGAAGAAATTATTTAAATTCCCTTTTAGAATGAATTAATTCAGATACCAGCCTAACTCACAGAGATTTCTAAGCACATCATATTTTACTAGAAAAAGGTATAAAGAAACTTCCTGCTTTCTTGTA